CAGGCTGTGGGACCCCGCTCTGCCCGCCCACCCCCTGCGGCAGCAGCCCCGCTACCCTAACCCTGACAGTGCGATCCCACCGGGCAACGGGTGCTTCCTGCACACCCCCGGGGAGCAGCTCAACATTAAATGATCCTCCAGGTTCAGCGAGAGTTAAACAAGGTCATAGAACTGTTTTAGTTGGAAACAGTGTAGCTGGACCTTTAAGATCATGGAGTCCAACCATTCCCCAGCACTGCCAGGTCCCCACTGCCCCGTGTCCCTCACACCACATCTCCACGGCTTGGAAACCCCTCCAGGGGTGGGGACTCCACCACTGCCCCCTGGGCAGCCTGGCACAGCCCTGGGCAACCCTCAAGGGCAAGAAATTGTGCCTTGGGTCCAGCCTAAACCTCTCCTGGCACATCTTGGAGCCATGTCCTCTTGTCCTATTGCTTGTTCCTTGGGAGCAGAGCCCGACCCCCACCTGGCTCTAACCTTTCAGGGGTTGTTGAGAGCCAGGTCTCCTCTGAGCCTCCTTTGCTCCAGGCTCAGCACCCCTCAGGTCCCTCAGCTGCTCCCCACATGACCAGAGGGCCTCTAGACCCTTCCCCAGCTTTGGTGCCCTTCTCTGGCCACGCTCCACCCCCTCAAGGTCCTTCTTGGAGGGAGGGGCCCAAAACTGACCCCAGGGTTTGAGCTGCAGCCTCTCTAGTGGGGAGACTGCAGGAATCCAGGGGGATGATCCCTGCTCTAGTCCTGCTGGCCATGATATTTCTGCTGCAAACACACATGAGGTTTGAGAACAGTGAGTACAGCATATTACTTCTGAAGGTTTCTTGTGGTATTTCAGCATCTTAGGCACTTGGGTTGCCTCACAAACTCATATTCTTTAATGTTTAAAATTTATCACCAGTGCCTCACTGCCTCCACAGAGGAAAATAGCAGAGCCTGCTCTTCTACTCAGTCTGTGCTCACAGCCAACAGCACTTGACAGCATCAACTGCCCAGCTTTTCGTTGACACCACTGTGGTCTTCTTGCAAGGACAGAAGCACGTTGGCCTCTCCCTTTCTCATGCCCAACCAGGTGCTGAGGTCTCTCAAGCCACCAGAAACAGGGTGACAGCACACGCACCGAGCTGTCCTGGCTGTACCTTAGTAACAAACAAGCAACACAAGAGGCTCAGGTTTAATTTTTTTGGCATGCCTGCTACTGGAAACTCGGCCCAGCAGGTCCCTGAGAATAGCCCAATTGCTTTTCCCTTTGGCTGCCACGTACTATGTCAAATTTTTACAGCGGAATTAAAATGTCCCCAAGACATAGGCTTATGTAATGGAAACAATGACCTGCATGGGCTGGGAGTTACCGTACCAATAAACCACTTCCTTCAGCTGGGGTCTTGTTTTGCAGCATTAGTGATCAGGAAGGGCTCAGAAATCATTGTTGCTAAGGCTTACAAACTCCCCACTTTCTGAAGGAACACACGAGGAACACAGAGTGACCGTGCCCATGGCCCAGCAGAGGAACACACACATTACTGTGCTGCTCTGCATGCAGCACTGACCATGGACCCTGTTTCTGGCAGCTGCACTCCAGAACAGCCACTCTTCTGCCCCAGCCTCCACTCCAGGTGCCCTTCTCCCCCGACCGACGCGTGGCTTTGTGCCGTTCCGAAAGGTGCATGCTGATGTGCAAAGGATTAGAAACCCTCGAGGGCAGCAACCCTGACTTTACAGCTTCTCTGCTTGCAACACATCAGAAGGGCTAAACCCAACATTTCAAAGTGAAATGCTTCCATGGAGAACGTGGATGAAGGCTGGGGCAAACCAGTTACTTGTGTTACAACTGACAGAGTGAAAGATGAATTCAACAGTGCTGTGAAAAAAAAACCCACCCCAGAACATTCCAATGTTCTCTGTGCTTCTCTGGCATTAAACCTGTTCACAATTCTGTTTAATTACCTTTTTCTGGTCAATGTCCGTGAGAGCGTTCCTACTTAGACCAGAGCAGTGCTTCTATCTCTTACAAAGAGCATTATGATTGCTCAGTTTGCCATTGGTGTTCAAATGCCTCAGTTTATATCATCATCTCAGCAAAAATATCAAGAGCGCTTTCGGTCTCGTCCCGGGGCCCCGATTCCTCGTGGCCCTTTGGAGAGGTGCACACAGTCCCTTCTCGCACGGTCCTCCTCTTCCTCCTGTGCACGTACACAGAGCGCTTCCTCCCCGTCTCCTCAGCAGGTGAGCTGCTGGCTCCGGCACCCGCTTCCAAAGCCAGCTCTAAGCCTTTGTAAAATCTAGAAAGAAACAATCGTGTCATTGTTACTTCTGTGGATTTACTCAGGATCAGCAAAAGCTCCCTGAGAAACTAATGCTTCGTAATGTAATCAGAGCGTGCTGGCAGAAGAAAATTGTTACCAGCGCTGACACGTTCTAGCCAATATTGGAGGAAAAGTCAGAAGTAAGGGCAGGTGTCCTGGGTGTGCCGTGCCATTGCCTCTGTAACACCTGCCTGCCAGGAATCACCCAGCCACGTACTCATGAGCCACGAAGACCCTGTTAACCCTACAGAAACTACAACGTGGTATTGGCTTAAATATCTGGTGAGTGACAGCATTAATGCTCAGATGGACTGCTACTCATAACTACTTCTGACCTGAGCAAGTACCGAGAGTTTCAGTGGACACATGAAAACAAACTGTTCTTAGGACACATCGGTGTCTCTCCAGCGTCCCTTTGATCCTTGTGCTCTTTGGCTCTGCCTGTTCTGGTCCTCAGCTGGAGACAAGTGTAAAGGCTCGAATTGTGTGTGATCTTCCACTGCCTTCATAAATCATCAGTTTTGGAAAACACACAAAGCATTTAGTGGATTTAAGTGTGCACTGCAATCTGAACACTTCTGGAACGGTTCCTGTGAAAGAGTAGCAAGTGCTGTTACCATTAGTGAAACTTAAACCCTACTCAGCAACAAAGAGTCTGCAAGCTCATGTAGTTTATGGGTTTTTGCTTAAACAGCTTTGAAATGGTATTTTAGACTTCGGGAGGGTTGTGTGGTTTTGGCTGGGTTTTTTTAATTTCCTCACAACCTCTCTCACTTGTGGACTTGGATGCCATGAATCGGGTTGGTGTGCTCCTACAAACCTGTCAATCCTCCTTGTGTTTTCTTCCATTTTCCGATTAGCTACTTGTATCAAAAATTCAATATATTCTTCTGTGACCATCAATCTCCCCTTGTGGCTCAATGGAACTTCTAAGCAGTGAGTGCTCCGGACAGCCTGAAACACATACAGAAGGATTTCTTAAGATTATTTTATTTTATGAAGGTTATTTAAATAATACAGGGAGTTCATTACTGGGAAAAAAACCCACTTATCCACACAATTGGCTAGTTTGCTGTCAATCACATTACGATTCAGATCTTGGCTCCTAAAAAAACAAGGTTAACAGTAATGGAATGATTTTGTTACGTAGAACAGTCCTTACCATTGTAATTTTTCCTCCTTTGCCAACTGTAATGCCAGAGTTCCTGAACCCAGAATTGATAGCCACCGAATGCTGCAGAACAAATAAATGCATTAAACACTTTCACAGCAACAAATACTTAGAGATGGGCTGCAATGCAGTTTATAATCTGTTTTAAAAAAAAAAACTTGCTCAAAACCATCTCCCCAGATTAATGCAGTAACAGTTACATTACAATGTTTTAAAGCTCAAACACATGTACTATCACAAATTGTGACTGTTTTTCAAAGAAACACAGTCGTCCCTGACTGATCTTAACCTGATCACGCCATGGGAATGTTAATGTCTCACTGCACCATTTCACCTCTGCCAGGTGGGAACCACGCAGACCGTCAGGCAGCGCTGTCACAGCTCAACGTGCAGAGGTCCTACACAAGAGGCTGATCAGTTCTCTTCTGCAGGCATGATGGAGGAAACCCATTGCCCATTATGCTCCCAAATCATTATGGAAAAGCAGATGACAGGCACTACTCAACTGGCTGAAACACTGGATCCAAACAGCCTGGTCTGGAGCAAAATGACATCTACAAACCATCACTTTCATCCAGTGAGGGCAAAACCACACCAGGCAGTCTGCTCCAGCTCAAACACTAAACTGTGCTAACCACAAACTGCAGCAGAACCTCTGCGAGGTTTAAAGCTGTTTTTTCCTCATCAGCTTACTTTAGCTACCCTAGTTGTTACACACAGCACGTCTGGAACTGCTCCCAAGGGCTGAAGCTTCCTCGGGAGCCTGTCCTTTTCCAGCAAGGAACACAAGAGCCCAGCAACGGAGCGCTGTTACTTGATGTAATTTTACCAGAAGTTGGGCATCCTGCAGCTCTTGACATAGCACATGAAGAACAAATGGTTCAAACTTGAACACAACGTCACCAGTGGCTTTCTCTAGTGCTGTCATCTGGAAAATACATCAAAATATTTATATTAATATTGCAAGCGTATACTGTTACTACCAAAAAACCCAAACAAACCCACAACCCAATGACAATAGCCAGTCAGCGTGTGAAACAAGCATTAAAAACTCAGCAAATGAGTTCCAAGCAATCAGGTTTGTTCAGCTGCTTGTGATTTTCCATTGCTTGTAGTACACAGAAATTCTGTGGATTTCTGTGATTCTGTTTGCTGAACTGATTAGGTTTGACAGAAATCCCTGGCAGGGTAGACTGTAAAACCACGAGGAAGCGTGCTTCCCTCTTTACTTCTCTGTGCATCCAAGGGAATCGTATCTGGACACTTCCCATATACTCTGGGAACAGGAATGTTTCACTGCCATCAGAGGAAACCTGAGCAGGTTTTGTCAGTGTTTGTTTTTGGTTGTTTTTTGTTTTTTTTTGTTTTGTTTTTTTTTTAAAAACTGTTCTCTAAAATCAAAAGACATTTATTTTTGGAATTACATGCCTCCACTTCAGAAAACTTCCTGGGGTCCAGAAGACTACATTCATGGCCTAACGTACTTGGTAACACTTTAATCCCAGTTTAAATGACAAATAGCCTGCTTTGCAAGAGTTATAGAGATAAAAAGTCAGAGGTTGAAATTAGAGGTGCAAACCCACAAGAAAGGGGGAGGGAAAAGTTAGTAAATTCATAATTATAAAATTCAAGAAATGACCTGCAGACCTCTCAGTTCTGTTGGCCCACAGAGATGCTAGAGGTGATTTTCCCTGGATTTGTCTGTGCTCCCTGGCATTCTGCATGGCTTACTATTGGGGCTTCTGCTGCTCTGAAAAGGGTTCGTAGTTCAGCAGATACTCCAGAGGCAGCTTTCCAGCCAGAACACAACTAGTTAAGAAGGTCACGCTGACTGAAATCACCTATGCCTGCTGGCATTGCCCCAGAGCTGTCTCACAGTACTGGCTGCCACAACAAGCTGGTTAACAGAACAGTATTTTCAGCCAAGATGTATTATCATCCTACTGCATCTAAATCATTAATTTCCTGCAAATTCAATTTAAGAGGGAAATACAACTTTATAATACATTAAAGTAGTTTAAAAATTAATGATACATTTTTCTTAACACTTGCAATTAACATATTAAAAAAAAAAAATCCCATCTACTGGTTACAGGGAATGGGAAAAATCAGAGTATTTCCTCTCATAAGTCAGCAACAACCCACCGTGCCCTACCTGGCCTCAAATCTGATGGCAGAAATCTCAGCAAGCTCTGCTCTGCTACAACAAGCACTAAGAACAACAAAAACTTTGGAGATATTTTTTTCTGCAGGTGTCAGAATGTCTGTGCATGGTAAAGTCAGGGAATTTTGACCTTGTAACCACTTCCTTTCTGGGACAGACAAAGCAGAGGTGGATGCAGAAAAGAGACTGTTTTGAGAGCATACTAAAAACTCACACAGAATACATGTATATGTCTTTAATTTCCAGAGGATTTTAGGAGCGTAAATTCAAAATGCAAGGCAAGAGATTCCTTGTCAGCTCCTGGTGTCTGTAAATCAAAGGCAGTTGGCACAGCAGGCTGGGCTCAAGGCAGCGTTAAATTCTGGACAGCTTATTTTACTTTTGGACAGGAAGGCTTTTAAATCACATCTAGTCTCCAGCTGATACCTTGCTGGCAATCCAGTAAGAAAGGAAAACAAAGAGCAGATTAAAAATGCAGAAATAAAAAATACCTTGTTATACTTAACAGCAGTCTTTCAAGAAAGGAACAATGCTTGCTCAGGGAAGCACCATTTCTGCTTATTCCAAACAAGGCAGGCCTCTCAAAAAAATAAGAATCTCTGTATCTTAGTTGTTCAGAAGTCGTTTTCTGAAAGATGGTTTTCTGCGACAGGAGCAAGAGTAGTTACTGATTCCTGTGGAGCTATTGTGGTGTGGAGATTATGCACCTCCAGACAATCAGCTGCATTTACAACTATGCAGGCAGTTTAGTATTAAGCTTAAAAGCATTGTCTTCAAAACGGGTTTTAAGAATTTATGAAGTAGAACACGCAGAGGAAACTTTATTTTGGAATGAGATGTCAATTTATCTCTGTAACAGGAATAAAAACTCTGGTTTTTTTTATATTTTACATGGATGTGTTTTCCACGACATCAGGAAGGAAACATGAGAGTGGTGTTGCCGCGTCCCCTTACCACATCGTCCTTGGCACACGCTTCGTGGGTGACCATGAGCCACGCGCAGTTCTGCTTCTGGATCCCGCAGCCGCTCGTGCCCTGCGAGC